CGCTTAAGACAAATTGGATGGCATTCAAGACATTGCTTTTGCCGCAACCGTTGCCACCGATTATCACGTTATGGCGCGCAGAGAGACCTGAGATGGTATTGGTCTCGCGATACGACCGAAACCCACTCATTGTGATCTAAGAGACAATTACAAGACATTACCATTGGATACAATTAGTGGATCAGTTATGGGTGACTCTCTCCAAGAAGTAGTGATCAATACATACTTTTTTGATATACATTTGTGTTTGAAATGCAATCAAAACATGAATTACTCATTCAATTGAATGACAATTGAGTGACAAATGAATGCATCGTTTGTTTCAATCATTCAATGAATCGTTTTTTAGTCACTTTTTTGCGCCAAAATGTGTGTAACGTTTATAGCGTTTAGTGTTTGCTATATATGGGAAGGTTTGGGCAAAATTGCGGGAATATTGGGAATATTGATAAATAATATGTGAAATCATTTATTGTTTTACTTTAATTGTGGTAAAATTTAGTCCGATTTATGTTAATTGTATTATTTAGTAATCTACCAAGCTATTTCCAATAATTTTTAATAAGGCTAGTTAAATTTGCTATTTTGCGGTAACATTGTGTGTAAATTATAGTTTTGTTTATCTATTTTACACAGAGATTTGGGTTACAGTTTGTATAATCACTTGAAAAAACTTTTTCAACAATTATTTTAAAATTTATTTCCGATTTAAAGACATCTAAAATACATATTAAAATCATTTATTGCAATAAACTTTATATACAGTATTCATCAAAGATTACAATTTAAAAAATAATTTTCCGCAATTAAAACGACTAATGAAATACTTCTATACTTTTGCATACAATTACATAACATTAAAAGTTTTAAACTTTGATATAAACTTTTAATTAAAAACTTCGATAACTTTATAAAAACAATATATTGCGGCCAAGCATTGGATCTAATTATTGCTGAAATTACTGAGAGATGATTTACTGCCGAAGATATCGTGAGAGTCGTCCCAAATGGCAGATGAAGTGCGTTTGGAGTACTTCGGGTGAATCTTAGGGAACAACTGCTGGAAGTCGGTCTCGAATCGGCGAAGACATCCCTTGGTCTGGAAGACACTCTCCACCTCATC